GGTTATTTCATGCGACTGCGACATCCTTAAAAAAACAGTCTTAATAAGGATATAAGCCAGATAATCACCTTTATTCGCATTGCGCATATTTTGTGTCTTTTAACTTGTTAACAATTTTTAATTTACCAACGCATCATTCAAAATGTAGAAGGATTATAATAGCTTTATCATGAGCTGTGGTGGCTCAGGGGATCGAGCCTACGCCTTCCAATGAGACGAACCGGGTTCGAATCCCAGCGATGGCTGGTCGTTTCGAATTCCGCACCCGACTCGCACTGACCACAATGCTAAGTAAAAACATCCTCGGTAGACGGATTTTGATAATATTTTCCTCGTTTAATTCAGATTTAAATGAACTCACTTTTCATTAAACTTTAAGTTTTAAAATACTGGTAGTGAAATGAAATTTGCCTTGCAAAATTTCTCCCGCAGTATAGCGTCCTTTTAAGAATGTTATGAGTGTGACGTCATTTACCTGTGAAATTTTTTATCACGTGATCGAAAAATAGAAATGTCTTATCTACGAGTCTAAACTAGATCAGTCAATCTTTAACAATCCATCTTTTTTTCTTCATTTTCTGGTTGCTAATGAAAATTCTCCCAGATAGTTTAATTCAGCACCCTTGTTACTGTTAGAAATCATTCGATTCATTTTCACACGCTACCAATAAGGGACGTCATTTTTGCGACACTCTTGCGTTTTGAATTGACTCGCGGATAAAAGTTTGTGCTAGCTTTTTCATCAACTCTTTATCCAATATTAGCATCTAACACCACCTTTTGTTTTGCTATGTTTTCAACATTTGTGTTCTTTCTACATATTTATTTGCAGATTTATTTCAATTACTCTTTTTACTTGAATTTACTTATTATCAATTACAAACACTTTAATTCCCTCAACAAAAAAAGTGAAAATGTAAAGCAAGAATTTTTTACCATGAGCTTTCATTGGCCGTCTTGGGGAAACCAATCAGCTAAGAGAAGGCGTGGCGAAACGGTACTTCTCAAAGTTATGGCGCACGTACTAACATCGCTACTTCGAGAGGTATGGGTAAGCACTATTTACTTTATTTTTATTTTTAAGATGAATATAAAATAAATTACAAAATATTGACTATTATGTTATGTCCACATATTTGGCTTCAAAACTGTTAAATAAAATAGCTTTATTTATTGCAATAATCACTTAATTGTCACATTTCATTCGATTTCAAATAGTTATAACATTATTGAGTATATTAATTTAGTAACACTCAGTTGCTATTTTATCGAATATAAATATAATTTGATTCTTATCACGCAATTGCAATTTCATTGGATTTAAATATAATTTGATTTTTATGACGCAAATGCAATTTCATTGAATAAAGATATACTTTATTATAACCCAATTGCATTAAATTTACTTTCTTAATCAAATATCACACAATTGCATTTAATCTAATGTCACAAATCTAATCTAATGTAATGTAAAATTTTTAATCTAATGTAAATTTCATTTGCTTTCTTCTTATAATGTCACGGAAATTGCAATTTCATTAACTTTCTTAATTTAGCATCACATAATTGTTATTTCATTTTTATTTACATTGTTTAATATCACATTATTAAAATTTCATTTACTTTCTTAATAAACTATCACCCATTTCTAATTTCATGAACTTATTACATAATTGCAATTTCATTTTAGCTTCTTATTTTAATATCACACAATTGTAATTTCATTTACTTTGTTGTTTTATAGCTCACAGTTGCAATGATTTATTTCTCACCATGTAAATGCAGTTCCATTGTATTCCATTCATACAATTATCATTACACTTAATATCGTTCATAGAATCTATTATATATAATTCTCTTACGTGGCTCCCAAATTTTGACTGTATTTCTNGACAAATGGTTACCAATTTTATTCAAACTCACTTCAAGAAAGCTGAAGTTATTGCAAAATGGAAACCTAAATTAAAAGTGGTAAAACGTGGTGGTAAGTATACTTACCACGGCCTTCAAAAGGGTTAATATACTATCATTTCTTATTTCATGATTTTCATTATTCATTCTTATTTCATTTCTTATCATTTCTTATTTCATTTATACATCCATTTCTTATTTCATGAACTTTTTTATTTAATATTACATAATTGCAATTTCATTTTAGCTTCTTATTTTATTATCACGCAATTGCAATTTATTTTAGCTTCTTATTTTAATATCACACAATTGTAATTTAATTTACTTTGTTGTTTTATAGCTCACAGTTGCAATGATTTATTTCTCACAATGTAAATGCAGTTCCATTGTATTCCATTCATACAATTATCATTACACTTAATATCGTTCATAGAATATAATATATTTGTAATTTCTTTCAATATCATGCATTGAATTTAGTTGAATACATAATTCGAAATCGCATAATTGTAATTTTATTTAAACCGATAAAAATTATATTGAAAGAAATGAAGACTGAAATTTCATTGAATATCATATGCATGTAATCTCATAGAGTATTGTTCGTTGAAAATTGTATAAATGCAATTCGACTGAATTCATATAATGAATGAAATTAACTGAAATGTAAAGTCATATTCTATGAAATGCAATATCCTACTTGTAATTTCAAGAAAATCGTCTGATTATATTTTCGTTATACAATCGTCTGATTATACTACTTATAAAAATTTAATGATGGCATCACTGTTTCTATTGTTCTCAATACATTTTTATTGTCTGGAAAATCACATGATAGGATCCAGTTTTCCGACATTAATTTTCTTATCAGTTTGGTTGTCATCAGCATAAAATTGATTTAAGTCATGAAGCCATCGTTTTCCCATAAGTATTTTTGTTTGCTTACTTTAAAGGTTAAAATTACCTGTACTATTATAATTAAGTTTTCGATTTTGTTTGATTTCTAAATTAAGAGTTAAGGTGGATTGTTTTTATTATTATTATTAGAATAATCTAATTCTATGTTATATTTTAAGATAAAGTCATTTAAACCGGTGCCTGATCTTATAAACCGTTTCACAATTAATATTTTTTGGTACAAGTTACATTAATATACCATTATGAATTATGGTTAAAAAAATTTGTTAAATGATTTGAAACTTAACTTGCAGCTTCATGCGCAAAGTGGTGAATGCAAAAATTGTATTTAAAATACATCCGTCCGTTTGATAAGCAAAAATAATGAATTACAGTTATGAATTCACCAAATTTATTATAACTATACAGTTTTAATTTTAAATGTTATTTCAAAAAATGATTACTTAAAAAAGTGATTTATGTTCACTTATAGATTTTAATAGTATTGTAAGGGAAATATTTTGACGTGGGAAGTGGAAGCGCAAGTGTTATTTTTAACACATATATTTTAGTTGAATAATTTAAACTGTTTTCTGCCGAGAAACAGCAATTATTGCGAAGCAATCATCGGGATTGATGAGAGTCAGCGAACAGGGGGGTTAGACCCCTAGTAATCATGTATAAAACAATTAAGCGTAAATGTACAGAATTTAATTTTATTTCGTAATACAGTAGCTCTTTATAATAGCTCGACACATGATGGCGCGTCATTCAGAAATATTTTTTATGATTCAGATCCCTTTTTTACATTTTATATTTAAAAGTGAAAAAAAAATTAATCAAGCATTTTGTTTTTATAATAAAAAGGTTACCAAGCTGTCATTTGCCAATCGGTTTAATATTATTTTTTCCCAAATGCTTTTAGTTAAGTATGAAATATAAAATTATTTATATTTAATGACTTAGTCATTAATTATTAAATACTATTATTTATATTTCAAATTTATTACATTTAAATATAAAGTTTATTTAAATATTAAATAGAAAGTTATTATGCATAAATATTTAGTTAAGTAATTAAATTTTAAATTATGAATTATTAAAAATCATTATATAATTTATCTATGAAATATTTAGTTAATAAATATTAAAATAATTATATAATGAGAGCCTTTATGATATATCATTTAAAAAATTTTATTATTAGTATTTTTATTTGCTTATTTTTTNGTGGGAAAGACTTTAAAACAAAACTTACAACAGTTACTTTTCTCAACAACTGAAATTTAGAATAGTGTGATTAAGAAAAATATGTGAACTGTTTGCAATTTCAAATTAATATTGAAATGTACAGGTTTAGAATTTTCTACAGTGAAAAGTTTTCAGAACTTCAGTATTCAAAAAAGTATACAAAAACTAGACGTTAAGAACGTATCCAATGAGCGAGCAAAGCGAGCATTGGATTGCGAAGCAATCCGAAATGAACTGTGAAAGCAGTTCCAGGGGTTGGTGAGCTCCAGCGAGCAGGGGGCGATGCCTCCTAGTAAAAAATAATTTTACATAATTTTTATATTATAATTACATAATTTTTATATTAAATATTTAATTATTAAGTATTAAAATAATTATATAATAAGAGCTTCTATGATATATCGTTCAAAATTTGTTATTATTAGCATTTTTATTCATTTATTTTTTAGTATTTTATTATTATTCCAATTGCATTCGTTATCACACATTAGGCAAACACTCGCGATTTCTTACTTTTTTTTTCTTTTCTTTTTTTCTTCTTTTTCTTTTTTATATTTCTTTTTCTCCTTTTTTTATTTTTATTTAAACTTACGCTTTCAATATTTATGTCTTCATACCACGGTAGCAGAAACGAAACGACTGCAAGAGCTGCAGATTATTACCACATTTGCAGATTATTTTTCATTTAAGTTTAACAAGAAAATAAACAAAAGAGAAAAAAAACTGTTAAAAACCCTTTTTGAAATATTTCTGAACTAAAACTCTAGTAACTCTTTAAAATTAAAAAAGCTAAATTTAAAGAACGCCTTAAAGAACAAGAAGTAGAGCCCTGAAACGAATGTAATGATTACCGTTGCAGAAAATTATATTCAGATACGCACACAGACACATTGATTACTTCATTTATATTGTATTTTTGCTGAATCTACATTAAATAATTTAATTAAACGTCAGCTAAATATTTTTTTTTTTTTTTTTTTTTTTTTAGTTTACAGGAGGGTTTTAAAATACTAACATATTTGTGAGATTAGCAAAATTTCAAGCGAAAATTTACGAAGCGAAAATTCAAGCGAAACGTGGTTTGAAACTTCATAGTTTTTATAACTTTTAATTTTTATTTTATGAAATTCATGATTTAAATATGAAACGCTATTTTATATTCTTTGTTATAAAATTCAAAATATAAAGCGCTTTTTCTTTGTTCTATATCAACTCTGATTAAAATATAAAGTGCTTTTTTGCATTCTTTGTTATAAAACTCATGATTAAAATATGAAGTGCTTTTTTATATTCTTTGTTTTAAAATTCACGACTATAAAATATGAAGCGCTTTTCTTATTTTTTGTTATATAACAGCTTCGATTAAAATATGAAGTGCTTTGTTATATTCTTGGTTATAAAATTCATTATTACACTATGAAGCGCTTTTCTGATGTATATTGAAGATTGATTTGCCTTATTGAATGGGTGATAATCATTGACATCAAATAATGATAGATATTCTATAACTTTCCTTATTCCCAAATGTAACTCATGCTTTTTTTATTTTAAGATATCTCAAAGAAATTCATAGGCTCGCAAAACGTGAGAAAATAGAGAGAAAAAGCAAAGTATTTCATTATTTCAAACATATGATTAAAAAAAATTTGATTTTACAAAATGGCGATAATGATTTTATTAAAGGATAGTTTTAGTATGTTTTAATATTGTAATGATTCCATTCGTTTTTATTTCCAATGAGCTGCACAATCGGTCTTGCCGATGAGCAGACCTATTGCGTTCTCCAGAGGTGGTATCCACTCTTTCAGGACCACCATAATGGGTGAGATACCGTTGGTCATGTTAATTTGGACGATTAGTTACTGCCACACTAGATGGCAGCACAGAGACTCTATTTGGATGCTAAAGTGCACTAGGAATTCAATTTTGCCGGAAATGCCGAGAGCCTATAAGGCACTCCAGCCGCATAATCATACTTACATGCCAGCCGCT